ATATATATATATATATATATATATATTACGGTTTCAAAATGTTTGCAAAAAGGTTTTAATTCCCGGATCCATGTGAGTAGAGAGTTGTTCCTTGCAGCCGAGGGAGAGGTCCTCTCTTGTCAGGCAGTGTTTGATCATTATGGGCCGAGAGTTAAGTGTAAGACCATTGAGGGTAATACCTGATGGGCTAATCTTGCATCTGCCCACAGTCCCTGGGTTTTTATAAGGTGGCTTGGCTCAGAGACCACTTAGTGTTAGTGTTGGGCCCATTAAGAGCCCATGGTGATGGGCTCAGAGGTTCATTGCCCATAACAGTGAATTCGGCCAAGCCTTGTAACAGAGTCTAGGCTGAACCTATGTGGCTGATGTGTAGATCAATGTTTGGGTCCCACGCCATACAAAGAAGCCCAACTGGGCAGCAGTTTGGAAGGTTAATGAGCACATAGACTTAATGGGCCTAAAGCCCATTTCAAACTGGTCTAATTTGATTAGTTAAAGAGGGGCGGATCTGGGATTTGGATCAGCAGATAGGATAGGGAGTTATCCCTGTAGAGAACACTGATGTGGGCCCCACTGCAGTGGTCCCCACTGTGTTCGTAGGACAGCATGTGTAGTTATTTGTTTCAGTTATAGTAGTGTCAGTTTGAGTCAGTTTGTTAATTCAGTTGTTATTTATTTCAGCTTTTATTTACTTTATCTATTATGTAAGTACTAAGGGCAGATGTGTCCTTTCCATTATGTACTAAACATAACCTATAAATAATAAGAAMGTGGCRGYGRSAGATCASTAAGAATCTGTCCCTCCTTTCAACCACTTGTGTTCTCTTGTTTCTCTTCTATTCTCTCCTTTTCTCTCACTTTTCTTCTGTTTTGTAAACCTAAAACCTATTAGGATTCAAGACTGATTACAGTCTTGATCTTCTACTATCCCTATCCACTCAGAGAGTCTAGATCCAAATAGAGATTTGGATCTGGAAAGCTCCTAATGAGATTAGGAGGGTTGGTCTAATCTGCAGATAAGATAAGGGCTTATCCCTATCTCTTAAAGAGAACTCTTGATCCAAATATAGATTTGGATTAGGAAACTCCTAATGAGATTAGGAGCTCTCTTTAAGGCTATAAAAGGAGGAGGAAGGCGAACCTCCAGAGACATCACATCAAATCATCAGATCCTAGGTCATAGAGAGAGAAGACAGCAACAGTGTGACTACGCCATCTTCTACCTGCGTCCTACTCCTGTTGCCGCCATTTCCAGTTCGATCTCCATTCTTGTAGGAGCGATCAAGAATAGTTCTTGATATCAGTCTTTAGAGAAAGGCTGATCTGAAGTCGTGCTCACAGCCTCCATCGAATTCTTGCTGAAGGGTTCGGTTCTTGGGAAGAACACTGTTGATTCTGTTCCATCCTACACTGTGTCATTTTCAGTGGGAGCAGTCTTTGGAGATTTCTTTGGGCGTGAACACCTTCATTGGGAGTTACTGCTACTCTGTATCAGGTATATCCCTCTCCTACCTTTTGGTTTCAGATCTGATTCGGTTTAGGTTCAAGATTGATCCTTGAAAATGCAGATTTTCTAAAACAGGGAATGTGATTCCCAGATGGGAGAGAGAAATTTTTTGAAATTTTGCCCAACCTACCTGCAGGGTTCGGCCATCCATATGATGGATCTCTCATCCCTTCACTACATGCCAACAAGATCCAAGAAAAGTAAGGAGAAGGATTTTCTTAAATCCAGAATGATCATGTTCACCAATAAATGCCTAAAAAACTTCTCACTTACACTCTAAATGTTTGTAGCAGGCAAGAAAGAATAGCTTATTTGGACATAAGTTGGTCCAATGTTAAAGCTGGCACCACAGACCTTACAAATAGAACATCTAAATCACCGAATGTTAGTAAGCTATAAATTATTAAACATAGATTCACATTCCAATGACATTTAACAAATTAAGTCATCCTCAAAAGGAGTCTGGATCTTCTCCTCACACAGTGTGCCTCACACCGACCTCACAACATGTCCTGGCCGCATATCATGAACATCTCCCGTACTTGTATTTATTATTCATGGGGAGATGTTCCCAATATAGGGTGCAATGTGGCTGTGAGGTCGGTGTGAGATGTGATCTGTGAGGAGCAGATCCCAATTGCCTCTAAAGAAACACTGTTTACCCTTCCCACATATGAAAATACATTATTTAGGCAAGCCACTTCAACAAAGACAAGGTACACAACCAATTAAACAAGGTAACTGAAGACCAAACATATCTAGGCTGTGCAAACCAAAACTCTTAACTAAACCATGCAAATCTTATTACTTTTCTATATATCTGTGCATGTCAATGTAGTTGTCCCATTAGCCCACTAATCTATTTTAACAAAACTCTCTATTTTTCTATAACACATTCTCTAATTATCAAAAAAAATGCTTAACACAATTTGATAAAAAAAAATGCTTAACAATACACTCTTTATAAAACCATTGAGCTTTGTGCAAATCTATTGGAAATAATCAGAAAGTCTCAATGACTTACCTTTGCCCGCAGTGTTTCAACATCTGCCTTAAGAACTCTATTGTCAACAGCAGCTTCATTGTACTTCTGACTTATGTCTGTGAGACGCTTCAATAATGAAGAATTCTCAACTCTCAATTGTGAAACCTATAGTACCATGAGAGCAAATAATATTAACCATCAATGATACACGAAGGAATATATAGGCAAGATAGAGGCCAAACCTGAGTCTCAAGCTCATTCATATGTGCTTGTTTTCTTCTTCTGGAGCGTCTAGCTGACTCTCTATTTGATAGCATCCTGAGTCGTATTATGTGGATCAATACAAAGGCAAGGGGAATGCAATAAAAAATATTCTAACGTGTAAATAGGTTTATTCATATTAATGAGCTCATACATGTAGTGATGTCATGATTAATTTCTGAAAGGCAACTGACATATCAAAGCATGAAAACAACTTTTATCACACATTCTACTTCAGAAACATGAATAGATTAGTCTTTTCATTCACATAACATTTTTCCTAGCTAACAGGAGAGATCCATCTTTTCTGTTATTGCAGAAACAAAAAATGATAGATCATAGATAAACCATAACACCATTTCAAGTATTTGTATTCTGATGATACACATAAGACAAATATGAGACAACATTGGGAGCATTATGTTATTTTAGATGATGTATACCAAATGAACCATAACACCATTTCAAGTATTTGTATTCTGATGATACACATAAGACAAATATGAGACAACATTGGAAGCATTATGTTATTTTAGATGATGTATACCAAATGATATAAGCACTCAAAATCCAGAGTTAAGTGAATAGAACCTTCCTGTAGCTCCATGCACCAACCTCCTACATCACAAGAAGACACTAGAAACAAAAACGGAAAAACTCATGCTTACGGCTTACCTCCTTACACGCTTCACATCAGCAGGATCCATATTCTCAGTTATTTCTGTTTCCCCTTCAATCTCATCATCATCTGACTGCTCTCTTGATGACCCACTTGTTGTTGGCATAGTCTGAGCGCTCGATTTTTTTTGCATAGCAGGTGAGACTGAAATTCCAGCCGGTCCACCAGCCTTATCTTGAGCCTTGGGCAATCCATATCCAGGTCCTGCATGGGCGAAAACAGAGGAACCTTTCAGCTGATGCGTACTTGTTATTTTCACGCATTAAGACCTGCTATTTATCGAGGGGCTGGTTTTTTTTAAACATGAAAAATGGAAATGGCAGTCTATTGCACAAACCATGGCTAAGACATAGAAACATCTATTTGATTCCCAACTTCAGGATAGAGCATCTGTGACCTTTAAAAGAGAAAAAAAAAAAAGGAAAACCAAAGCCAGTGCAGATTTGTTTGCATACTTTTAAATAAGTTCCAGAAAAAACACTTTTATAGACAATTAACCAGATAAGATATTGATGTACCTCTAAATCCACCTGAATGAATAGTTAAGTTAGGAACTCTGACCATGCCTTTCTAATCCGGTGGCTCAACATCCAAGGACCACTCAGCCTGTTCCTCATCCAGTCTATCATGATCTGAGAATACCCCTCAATGATTAAGCTCTCAATTCCCATAGGGGTTGTTAATATGATCCCCTTAAGTGGTGAAATTCCAGTACCTCCAAATCAAAATGAATGAGCAGTTTAGTTTGGAACTATGACATTGCCTAATCTGATAGCTCAACCCTCAAGGACCACTCAGTCTATTACTCATTCAGTCAATCATGATCTGGAAATACCCCTTAATGACAAGCTTCTCAATTCAAATCCCATAGAAGTTGTTAACATGACCCCCATAAGTAGTGAAGTGCACTATAAGCTACACCCATCCCTTTAATTGCATTGTGTTACTAACCACAATGCCCTACAAGCTAACAAGCCTGGATCTCCTGCAAGTAAAAACTCTTTGCACACAGCATCCAGCTGCACATTGGGAATATCACCCATACATGTATGTTAAATTCATAGAGAGTGGTCCCCAATGATCTGATAGCTCAACCTAGACACATTGGGAATATCTCCCCAATGTGTCTAGGTTGTCCCGTTTCCTCTTGGCCCTTACAGTATCTAGGTTTACCTCTAGGAGCCAACCCTAAGGAGAGCACCTTTTGGGCCCCGGTTCTGGAAAAGTTTGAGAAAATGTTAGCCTCGTGGAAAAGGAACTATATTTCCTTAGGGGGTAGAGTAACATTATTGAAAGCTTCCTTAGCAAATCTGCCGATTTATTACTTCTCTGTGTTCAGGATTCCTGTTAGGGAGGCCAAGAAGTTGGAGAAATTAATGAGAATTTTCTTTGGGAGCTAGGGGAGGAAAAAAGGATCACTTAATAAATTGGGGAATAGTGTATAGGAGGAAAGAGGAGGGTGGGTTGGGTCTGGGGAATTTAGTTTTGAAGAATAAAGCACTCCTAGGAAAATGGTTGTGGAGATGGCCCTTAGAACAGGAGAGACATGGTATGAGGTGATAGATAGTATACATGGAAGCTCGGGAAATGTATGGGATGCTAGTGTATCGTGTTGAGCCACGTTGGCAACTCCTTGGAAAGAAATTCAGAGTATTCTCCCTATTTTCCTCAACTGTATCAAGTATGATGTCAACTCTGGTACTTCTGTTTTGTTTTGGGAAGACATAAGGACAGTTTCCCTTCTCTCTGTTCCCTTTCTTTTTTTTTATCAATAACAGAAACTTTATTAATTAAGTGAAGATTTATGAAGCTTTAGATACAATAAGGCGGAGATAAAATGTCTTAGCTCCCCATCAACAAAATACAATGAAAGGAAATTAAAAATTAGCCCAAAAGATAGACTCCCTATTCATCCCTTGCTTGGCCAACCCATCTGCAAATGAATTAGCGGTCCTCTTACCCAGCTGTATTGTATCTCAATGTCCCTACACAGCCATAAGAATTTTTTCTTTTCATTGTTATAGCTTCACAAACTACTGTCCTCTTTCTTCAACCAACTAATCACCTTCCAAGATCAAATGACTGATATTTAGTTCCCTTGCTCTTTGAATTCCTTCCAGAGCTGCAAGGATCTTAGCCCTAAGTGAGTCTCCTTCTCCAATAGAGCCTAAGAACAAAATAATAACAATCCCTTCCTCATTCCTGAATACTCCCCCAATCCTAGAGGGCCCTGGATTCCTTAAACTACTGCCATCAAAATTCAATTTTATAAATCCAGAGGGAGGAGGGGACCACGAGGGACTAAGAGTCCTCTTACACAGAGTAGAGGTTGCTACCCTTCCTCCTGAATACTACCCCAATCCCAGAGGGCCCTGGATTCCTTAAACTACTGCCATCAAAATTCAATTTTATAAATCCAGAGGCAGGAGGGGACCACGAGGGACTAAGAATCCTCTTACGCAGAGTAGAGGTTGCTATCTCTTTCCAATTTCTTAACAGGTCAGCCATAGGAAAGTCTGAAAACAGTTCCATGGATTTTAGCCAGTGGGCAGCCCTTAAAAGTATTAGGTCTAATAGGACAGTCTCCCTTCTCTCTATTCCCTTTCTTGCTACAAGGATAAAGCAATCTCTCACTTTCTTCCAACATCTGTTTCTCCATCCTCTCTGAATTGGGACTTTGGGTTTCGTAGGGGCTTGAGGGATCATGAACTCTCTTGTGTTTCAGACCTTTTGTCACTACTTGAACATGTTTTTCTGGACCCTCTCAGATCTGATGTGAGACTTTGGTCCCCTAATCCAAAAGGTTATTTCACGTGTGCCTCCTTCTTTAAGTCCCTTTGCTCTCCCTCGGGACAATTGGGTTTCCCGGCTAAGGAGATTTGATCTAAACCTGTACCTCCTAAAATTATTATTTTCTGCTGGGAGGTGTTCTATAGGAAAATCAACACTTCAAACTTATTGTAGAAGAGAAGGCCTTCTATGTGTCTCTCTCCTAATTGGTGTGTACTTTGCAGGGCTAATGGTGAGGATTGCTCTCACTTACTTTTAACCTGTTCTTTTTCTGATGCTATTTGGGGTTGGATCTTTGCCTTGTTTGGATGCAGATGGAATTTGACCACAGCTGTAGATCAGTTCTTTGACCCTTCCTTCTTTGTGTGGCCCACAAAAAATGGTAAAACAATGTGGAGGTGCATTAGAGCTGCTGCTTTGTGGACAATTTGGGAAGAAAGAAATGTGAAGATTTTCCAAGAGGAGAGAAATTTTCAGAATGTAAAGGATTGCATTTTGACCAGAGCAATCCATTGGCTGAGATCATTGGATTCCTTTAAAATATATTCCTTTGATGACATTTGGAGGAACTGGATAGCTGTGGCTAGTAGCAGTAACAAGAAGAACAGGGTACCAGCTGTGTGGGTGCCTCCTTCTGAAGGCTGAACAAAGCTGAATTTTGATGGTAGTAGCCAAGGAAATCCAGGTCCATCAGGGATAGGAGGGGTGCTGAGAGATAAAGATAGTAATATATTAGCTTTATTCTCAGGCCCCGTGGGTACAGGAGACTCTATTAGAGCTGAGCTTCTAGTAGAGGTACAAGGTATTCAGATTGCAGACCAGTTAGGAGTTCAGAATTTGCTTATTGAAGGAGACCCCAAAGTTGTTGTGGGTTGGTTAAAAAATCCAGCTTCAGTTATTTGGTGCTACAGGGATATTATGAGAAAAGCTAATTGGTTTTCAAGGAACATGACTGTTAATTATCAGTGGGTGGGTAGAACAGCTAATACCATAGTGGATGAGTTAGCTAAGCACGGGGTTTCAAGGGAACATTTATTCTGGGCAGCTCTGTAAACTCTCATTTCCTAGCCTGATGTAGTACATTGTTGTTGTTGAGGAGAGGTACCAGCTCATGCCTCTCCTTGGGCAGGCTGTTTTGTAATTTCATTCTGATTATTATGAATAAATTATCATTCATTTATAAAAAGAAAAAAATGTATGGCTAGATACCCGTGCTTTCAGAGTCTGTGCACAGTTTTTTGCTTGCAGGAGACCCTGTTGCCAAACTAACACCCATCCTATAGAAGTTGCTAACCTGATAATGCCCTATAAGCTAACACCCATCCCCTTATCTTCATTGTATTACTAACCACAATGATTAGGTTGAAGACCATAAGGCTGACAGAACATTCCAATATGGTGAATATTCAAGCTTGCATAACCCCCAATATTATCCCATCCAGATGTGTACAAGTGGCTTCAAAGAAAACTCCTTCCAAATTCCAATAACATCTCCTCCACAGCCAATGCCACATTCACTGAATCAGGAATAAAATATAATTTTGTATTAGTAACTAGGGATTTTATTGAGATGGATAAAAGAATAGATATATACAAATCTGTTCCGTATGCACCATTCTAGACTTATTATCAAAATGCTTTTACCCCCCCCCCCTAAAAAAATGTTTCCTATTAACCCTTTGTTTGGCCAAATTGTCTGCCAAACTATTTGCAAATCTTGGGACCCAATTACAAACAGCAACTAGTTCCATAATCATTTAGTTGCAACATGGGGTTTGGAAAAAGAATTTTCTGCCAGCTCCTCAAGAGGAGGTTTTGGAGGAAAATGACATTTCAGAGGGGAAGGATATAAAGAATGGAAATGAAGCTTCCAGCATGATCTACCTCCTCTACTGCCACTAATTCCAGCATGAATTACCATGTCAACCCTAATTTTGTAAATCTTCCATCTCAACTAATGTGAAATTGTCTCTTTCTCAAGGAAAAGGTAAAGAGTAAACTTTGAGCAGAGTGAGAACATTCAAAATTCGATGGCAGAAGAACCAAAAATCACCACCATCATTACGCTGTACTGGGAAGTCAAGGCACTATGGAGAGGTCGAAGATTGCAAAAGAGAAATTGATTTTAGAGTTTAGACATGAAAAACAAAGGGTGGTTTACCTAATGGTATCTATCTTCTCATAAAGCTTTTTTTCCTTTTTCAGTATTTTAGAGAAGTTTATTGATACTTCAAAATATGCACAGTGCCACTTGTCAACTCAATGCAACAAAGAGGTCCTGTTTCACCATTCCACTCCAACAATGACCATATCTTCCATATTTTTTATCAATAACAGAATTTCATTAATTTAGATGAAAATTACACAACAGAGGAGAGGTAACCTTTCTTACCTCTCCTCACCAGTATATTACAGATTACATTTGATTTCTTCCCACTGCTCTTTCAAGTTAGCCAATGAGATAATGTTGATGCGGAGAGAAAGCAAAAATTAATGAGAAAGAAAAGATTGTTATCATTTCCTAAAATCCCTGTCACAGATACAGGTAAAGGTATCCCATATGATATGTGTATATCATGCTTTTATATCTAGTTTTAGAAGCTGAGTGTCATTTCTCAATATTTATGCCTTGCAAAATTTAATTAAATTTTTTATTTATAAAAAAATAATTAAGCTTTTAATTAGTACAGATATTTTATAGTAAGATTTGTTAAAAATATCAATTCTTATATTTTTGAAGTGTCAATGCTATTGAGTATATATTTGAAGGTGTCCAGGCAGTCTTCAGTGTTGTATCAGGTACATTTCGTGTCCAAATAAAAGTATACTAAGCATGTATAGGTGTCCGGGTATCATAGTTTGGTGGAGCAGTAACTTGGACATGTATCAGAAATCAGAATGATTAAGAGAATCATATTAGCATGTATGTTGTAATTAAGAAATCAATACATTTAAGAACAAAAAAGATTAACATGCCAGCACTATGAAAATTAAGCACATGGAGATGCAGACCTATACCAGGGGCTTGAGATCCCAATTGTGAAGCATCTGAAGCCTGTGATGCACCCTCTGCTAAAAGAGCACAGTCTTGAGGTTTTGCAGAAGATGCCTGTTGACATAGGCCATAAGTATGCCAGTCATTCAAAAGTATATATAGCAAAATAAGGAGCATTTATTTATCAAAAAAAAAAATAAGGAGCATTCGTGTGGTAATAATAAGTATAGAGCTGCTGTTTGGGTGGTGGGGTGAGGTTATTGATCTGTTCTGTTGCTAAATTGTGAAAGAGGGGATCTCTTTATTTTGGTGTGGGTTTGAATGTAAACATCAGGGTTGCTTGTAAAGGTTTTTTATTTGGCCGAATGGTGGTAGGGATGTCTTGTAGTCTGTTCACGTTTTCTCATCTAGGGTGATTTCTTATCACCTTTCTTGTGCTTTCTTTTATCTTAATGAATTTCATGGACTATCAAAAAATGTAATTTAAGATCACATAGTCAATGAAATTCATTAAAATAAAAGAAAGTAAAGGATGAAGATGGGAACATACTTGCTTCATACTCCAGTCCTGTGGAGCAAGGTGATGTGGCAAGGCCAGACTGCCAGAGTTTTGGTTGCAGTATATGGGGTTGAGAAGGCAAAAGAACTGGGTATTAGTAGACTGATTATTGAGGGAGACTCGAAAACTGTGGTAAAATGGCTGCATATGGGGGAGGGGGTGACATGGCATTTGAGGAATGAATTCAGGAGATTTGAATGGCTATCAAAGGACATGTCAATCCTAGTGAGATGGGTGAGGAGAACTGCCAACAGTTTGGCAGACAGCTTAACCAAGCAAGGGGTACATAGAACACATATGTTTTGGGCTCAAATGTAATATTGGTTTGGGTAAGCTTCTAAAGCTGTTCACAACTTCTTGTTGTAACATGATTTTTCTAATTAATGAAATCTTTTCTGTGTTTCTGATAAAAAAAAAGTACAACAAAATCAAATATAAAGGCATGCATCCTTTGGATGAAATAAGATTCCTACCCAAGCAATCAATTACCAGGTAAAAACAACAAAAACAGGCAAATGAATTTAACATCACACAGTCAAAGAAAAGACTCAAGCAGCAAGGTTACAATAAATTTAACTAAAATTAAGTAAACTACAGTACAAAAACAATAGTACATCAAAAATTGATGAAAGAAGCTAAAATTTTGCAATTAAAATTGATTCCTTCTCTGGATTCAACATTCTAAATGTAGATCACATTAGAATTTAGATACATGCATTGTTCCTGATGAGCTACTACCTGAACCAAACAACTCATATCTCATAAAGTGATAATGAGTTTGCTAACCATGGTGAGTAATGGAGATATGGATAACAATAGGCAAGCATTTTACAACTCAGTTATCTTGACACTTGCCTCTCAAGCCAATCAATATTTTTGAGAACAAAGCCTATCTTTGCCGGTAATAGAATAGATAAAACAAGTTGTCTCCTTGAAATACAAAATGAGGGCTCCACCCCCCAACAGAAACAAGACTTTAATTCAAAAAGTAGTACCTAAATACACAAGTGAATCACCATGAATTCAGTAAGATTTACAAATATCTACTAACAAAAAATACATGAAGTAAATGCATGTATTAAAACTAAATGTCACAATACGCAACAAGAGACTGTCTTCTGATGAAGTCAAAATCATCTACAATCCAAGCAAACAAGATTAAATTTTTCCAGTTCCAAAAATAAGCTCCTAAATTGCAGGATAGAAAAGTTCTGCAATTGGTAAAAAATAAATAACTAAAGAATTGAAAACAAAACAAAATTAAGAAGAGAAGCACGTAATTGCAAAACTTAAAAAGCAATCGCATTACATCCAGCAAAGCCATACATAATATACCAACATGGATCATAAATAAATTTCAAAAATAAAAGAAATGATCCAATCAATTGCAAAAATAACATAGAAAATGGAACAAATCTGCAATTATCATTGAAGATAACAAAAAATCCAAATCCCACAACAATCACAAATATACCAAATGATCCAAAAAATTGTAGTGTCACATAAATTCAAAGAAAAAAAGATACCCGAGACAAGGCCACAGCAGCGCAGGCAAGATTAAGACGGCTCTTAAGATATGCCTGGTACTCCTCGGAATCAATCGGTACACTGGGAGAGGGATCGGAAAGCGTCGGGGGAGGTTGAGACTTCTCGATCTCAACCACTTCATCATCACCTCCAACAGCAGGTCTCTCTGAAGTTTTGGCAGAAGAGAAAGGCGGAGGAACCGACGAAGCTGCAGTAGCAGAAGGCGGAGAAGTTGCGGCGACCGAAGAAGCCTCCTGAAGAAACCTCTGAAAAGCCCACTCGGATGAGCTCCGGTTCATCTTGAAATCCTCCCCTTGTTGCGCCGTCGATGAATGAGCAGGCGGCGGCGGCGACGCCACCGGTGGTGGCGGCCAAAATTGGTCGGAAATATCGCCCACCGAGAACACCCTATCCATCTCTCTCTCTCTCTCTAAATTCTTTCTTCAATTCTCCTCTGTTGCTTCGATCGCTCGCTCCTTCGATCTTCTGTGAGTTCTGTCTTGATTCTCTGGGGCGTCGTTTTTTGTTCTCACTCGTGGCCGTATCAGAACTAGAGAAAAGTAGGAGACGACTTTTTCTCCTAATCTCATCTCTCATTAAAATATAGAAATAGAAATTGGGGCCCAGTTGTCAACTATATACTCCGCACGTCCACGTCAGCGCTCTCACATGCACATCCACCGTGCATTGAGAACATCTACCGTGAATAATAATAAATAAGAACTGGAGATGTTCCTAATGTATGATAGGATATGTGTGTGAGGCGCTTGTGAGGCGCCAGGTGTTGGGAGCAGATTCGGTCTCTCAGCAGTGACACCCAGCCCACCATTTTGCTCATACGGGACGTCACGTGTCATCAGCTTTCACGCGACCGAATCTTAACCGTTGGATACCAACACCTGAAATCCAAAGGTTGGTTTTGAGTTCTTAGATGGAACCCACAGTTAATGTTGGGTTTTCAATATCTAGATGCCTGCCGCGTATTCAAAAGATTCTATAACTAATGAGCTTCTATATATAAAGGGCGAAGAATATCCGACGTGGCAAAAAATCTAAAGTGCTAATTTCTAAACTAAAGGTAGAAAAAGCAGCCAGCAAAGAATTTATTTGTTTTTCTTTCTGAAACATTATCTTCTTTATTATATCCAAATGGCAAAATTAATATTTATTGCTATTTTTGCGGGAATTTTAGTAGGTCCACCGCAGGTGCGGTCCAGAGCTGAAATGCTGACTCACCTGCGGTCGCCATCTCATGTTGACGAATGGCGAGTTGGCGACTGGCGAAGTGGCGAGGATTTCCCAACTTCCCATCATGCAAACATGATGGTCCAGAATTGAACAGAATAAATGGGCTTTTGGGAAAATCCTTTATAAAGGTAGGGCCCATGGACCATGGAAGAAGCGAGTGCTTAAAGAGGGCTTTTTGAGGAACCCCCGGAAAAAAATGAGAAAAGTTGGAGAAGACGAGTAAAGTGTTGGCCTGTTGGGACTCCTGAGTTTAAACACAAGACAAGAGAGATGGTGAATTTTCAAACAAAAACATGTGATTGGACGAACAAAAGAAGTGAATAGATCGGATGGTTCAAAATTCATTTGGATCATGCATCAGTGGGACCCGTTTGAAGATGGATGGATGGAAGGAAACGTGTTGGAACATGGCTCATCCAGTCCAAGATCCCCATTTAATTCAAGGCTGTCGAGGGTTCAGACTCACTATTGAATTCTTGTTTTTATTAAAGGGGCGTTCTTTTTTCGGATTTTGAGAGGGGTAAATTGGTCAATGGGATTTTGGTTTTTATTGATCAAGAATTTCATGTTCTTTTTCAGATTTATGTAGGAATCAGGGAAAGTTTATTTTCCTGACTCCTAGGTGGGTAAATAACTTTCCTACCTAGGGGAAAGTTGTCAATAATTGAATGGGACAAAAATGCCCTTTTTAATAATATATTTTAATGGCTAAAATGGTCATTGCCTTATTTACATGAGAAATAAAAGAACATGGGTAAATGCACTTACTCGGGTAAGTGTTTCCCAGGAAAAAACCGAAAAGTGAACGGGGCCTAAAAAGTAACTAGCAAAGGGGCCCTACTTCGCAGAGGCTAGGGGTGAGAAAAAAATCGAAAAACCAAACCGACCGGAACCGAACCAAAAAATTGGTTAACCGAACCGATCAATTCGGTTTCGGTTCGATATTCTTAAAAAACTGACAGTTTTGGTTCAGTTTCAATTAATCATTTTAATGGCGGTTAACCAAACTAACCGATATATATACAGTAATATATTTATATAATATTATATATATATATATATATTATATTTTATTTCAATTGAAAGCCGAACATTGTTAGTCTCTCTCACTCTCTTCGAAAATCGAAACCTTTCAACCTTTCTGTTTGTCTCTTCGAAGTTCGAAACCTAAACCTCTCTTCTTGGCGGAAGGGCGAGACAGTCGTCTACTACGTGGTTACGTTACTCAATCTCCGACTACCTGATGGAGGACGAATGCTCACGAAGAAGGAAATAGTCTCTCTGTGTGGGGAGTTTCTCAACGGCAGCGCTGACACAACATCCATCGTGTTATAGTGGATCATGGAAAACTTGGTGAAGCATCCACACGTCCAAGCAAAGTTGTTGTCGGAGATTGAAGGGGTAATGGGGTTCAGAGAAGAAATCAAAGAAGAAGATCTGCAGAAGATGCCATATCTTAAGGCGGTGGTGTTGGAGGGTTTGAGAAGACACCCACTAGGACACTTCTTGTTGTCGCACGAAGTAACAGAGGATGTCACCATAGATGGGTATCTTGTACCAAAGAATGCAATAGTGAATTTCATGATAGCAGATTCTCGCCTGTCATCTCCGTTGTGCGGCCCACGCCAATCACTAGCACCAAGCGGCAACGCCGGTCGCAAGCACCAACGCCATCTCTGTATCTATCTTTTCTCTCTCTTTCATCTAAGTGCATAAAAAAATCGAAAAACCGAAACACGATTAATTGGTTGCATTGGTTTGATTTCGGTTTGGATATTTAAAAAATCAACCAAGTCGATTCAATTTGAAAAAAAATACCCACGGTTCAGTTAACCAAACCATGAGCACCCCTAGCAGGGGCTGGATTGAAATAGTAATTACTATTTGCTACATTAAGAAAATGGTTTCTTAATAAGAAACTTATAATAATAAGCACTAAAGTCTTGAAATTCATATAAAGACTTAAAAAAGATCATCATGTGCTCGTTTTTTAAATATTGCTTCAGCAAAGCATCTCATATAAAAGAACACGATCATACAGTGATAGTTTTGAGTTCTACTTCATAATTGTCTTTTGTTTCACATTGAGAACTCCCAATTAACCTAGATGGTAGGACCGTTCGGCCTGGGAACCGTCTAGGCAACTGGTTTTGTTTTACCCCAAACCTGGTCCCTGGCAAAAAATCGTTGAATCAGTCAATGACCCATTGCCGGGCAGGCGAAACGTCGACTCATTCAACGGTTTTGGCCATTTTTTATTTTAAATTTTTGTTGTCAGAACAGGCCATCTGTTCGAATTGGACAATCAAACCGTCGACTTGGAAACCAATGGCCAGAATGGTTCCATTTTCGGGTCATTTTTTTGTAGAACTGGAAAATTGGCGATAAATCCACCAAACTGGAAAAACCAAGGAAAAAAATCAAAAAATTGAGTCCAAAGTTCCGCTTTGATATGGAGCAAAACATACATGCAATCAAAGAAAGAAACAAAGCAAATCATCTCTTAAGAAAATTAAAAAAAAAAAGTTGCACAAGAAAACCCAAAGAAAAACAAAAGGGAAGAAATAAAATGGTGATAAACCCTAAACCGTTTTGGAGGATCTTGAAGAAGACTAAACACAAAAAAAAAAACAAAAACAAAAGCAGTAAATGAAAAAAAGGAATATACTGCACACGCTCGAATAAAGCCCACGACAGAAGAAACCTTTGAATAGTGAAAATCCGAAAACATAAAAAATCATGGTTTTTGAACCGTCGTTGACCCAGATGAGCGACCATTTTGGCCCAGGAACCGTATAGGCAACCGGTTCCATTTTACCCCAAACCCAGTCCCTGGCCAAAAACCGTTGAATCGGTCAATGACCCATTGAATCGGGTGGTCGAACCATCGACCCGTTGACTCGTTTAATGGTTTGTGGCCATTTTTTTAATTTTTTTAATTGGGAGCCATTCAGACAACTGGTTTCGTTTTATCCCAATCCTAGTCCCTGGCCAAAAACTGTTGAATTGGTTAACGACCCAATAACCTAGGTGGTCAAACTGTTGACCCATTCAATGGTTTTTGGCCATTTTTTTTTATATTTTTTAATTTTTGTTGTCAGAACAGGCTGTCTGTTCAAACCAGACAGTCGAACCGTCGACTCGAAAATCGGTGGCCATAACGGTTCTGTTTTCGGGTCATATAAGTCACACACTTGAATGACATAACACGTATGATACTGCTTAATAGACCTCACACACTCAATTTTTTGCTAGTAATTCTTGTTATGGGTCATCCGTTCGAATCGGACGATCAAACCACTGTTTTATTTTTATTTTTTAATTGGGAACCGTCTAAGCAACCGATTCCATTTTACCCCAATCTCGGTTCCTAGCCAAAAACCGTTGAATCGATCAATGACTCATTGACTCAAGCGGTCGAACCGTTGACCCGTTCATTGGTTTTTGGCCGCTTTTTTATTTTTTTAATTTTTTGTTGTCAAAATGAGTCGTCCATTGAAACCGGGCGATTGAACTGTCCACCTGAAAATCGGTGGCCAGAACAGTTCCATTTTCGGGTCATATGAGTCACACGCTTGAATGACATAACCCATATGATGTTGCTTAATGGACCTCACACACTCAATTTTTTGCTTGTAATTTTTGTTGTTAAACCGGGTCATCCATTCAAACTGGACAGTCAAACCATCAACCCAAAAAATGGTGGGCAGAAAGGTTCTATAATTTTTCGATAAATAATCATAATTTACCTAAAAGGTTATATTTAAGGCTGATTTTAATAATCATTTTTTGATCAATTTGTTGATTTCTTAAAAATTGGTCGATTAAACACCAAATTAGTCAACTATACACAAGGTAACACGTGGCGAAAGGGGAGACCACCCCTTTCCTTTTAATATATATACTAGTGGAGGGGCCAATTGTAACATTACTATTTGCTACATTAAAAAAGATAATGGTTTCTTAATAAGAAACTTGCAATTATAAGTACCCAAGTTTTGAAACTCAAATGACTTAAAAGAGATCATTATGTGCTCATTTTTTAAATATTGCTTAAGCAAAGCATCTCATATAAAAGAACACAATCATACAGTGATAGTTCTGAGTTCTACTTCATAGTTGTCATTTGTTTCACATTGACACTCCTAGTTGACCCAAACAATAGGATTGTTCGGCCTAAGAACCATCCAGGCAACCGGTTTCAATTTACCCTAAACCTAGTCCCTAGCCAAAAATTGTTGAATCAGTCAATGACCCATTAATCCGGGTGGTCGACTCGTCAACCCATTCAATGGTTTTTGGCCATTTTTTATTTTTTAATTTT